GAGAGAGAGAGAGAGAGAGAGAGAGAGAGAGAGAGAGAGAGAGAGAGAGAGCCCTGTCAGAAGTTCAAGACTCTGGAGAGGAGTTATCCATGGGACCTCCGTGGCTAGTTCTGAGCTTGCAAAGTTCAGCTGGCCATGCCTATGGGGAGAGTGGATTGGCTCCACCAGAGAGTACTCTGGGGGATGGAGGGCAATACATCAAGTGCCTTTTCTCCAGGGTTTCCACTGGCCTCCCGTGATAGATGGGGCAGAGGCACCCGGGAGAGCAGTATTTTTGGTCTGCAGATGGGAACGTGCACTGAGTTTTCCTTAATACCCACAGCACCCAAAAGTCTTTGCAGTAATACACTTTAACGCACGAAACACCCATAAATTATCCTTCAAACTGCTACAATTTCCAGCCTGGAACAACTTGGAAAAACCAGCTTAACAAGCAGGCTCTTCTTGAATCTCTGAAGTAAACGTGATGAGAAAGGTCAAGCCAAAAACCACCTTCCTTATGAATCTCAGAAAGTTTTAGGAAAGCAAGAGCATTGTAATCAAACGGGGCTAACTAAGCCTTATGTTTACATTGGCTTCAAGTTGCAACACCCTGACCCCAAAGTCCTCTCTCCCTCCCCTGCAGCTTCTCTTCCTGAACCCAAGAGCGCCAGCTGCCCTTCCCAATCCTGGGTGCCAGCCTCTGCCACATCTGGCAGCAGACAGCTGAATGTACTGGGTGACCCAAGAAGTAAGGCTATGCCTTGGGATGCCCAGCAGGCCCCACCGAGGGACCCGGTGCTCCGCACTTGGAACCCAAGCTTCCAGAATCAACCCTTGGCACCCACAATCTTAGACTCTGAGTCCTGCTACAAACACCGAGTCTAGAGCACCCTGAGCGACAGTCCTCTTACCTAGGGACAGCGTGGCACTCTTGGGACTGTGAGCACTCCCCAGCCGGCGTGCTGTGCACTCGCCCTCCACCGCGCGGGCTACTGCTCCGCCACCCCAGCGCGCTCGCAGCGCGCGCATCCCTCACTCCAGGCTCTCTTGAGTGCTGTCCCCTTCTAGCCGGAGAGCTCAGGCTGGGCAGTGCAGCTTCTGCAGGCGCCAGTGTTGACTTTGGGACTTCTGGTCATTCTGGAACAGGGAATTTCACGACCAGAGAGACCCTCACTCCCTTCGCTTCCCTTGCGTGCCCACGATCTCGTGTTCCTACATCTACTCGGGACACTTCTTTCAAGGGTACGTTTCAACCCACAAAGATCTAGCCAGACAGAGATCCAAGCACACCGTCCCAGGGAGCCCAGCAACCCCGGTCCGCCGCACTGTGCAGCACCCTTATCGGGGCTCGGCTCAGAGCAGCCTGACTCACCGATGCGCTCCCCTCCGGCTCCAGGCGCTCTCTGCCGTGCTGGAGCACAGAGCTTCTGTAACAGGCTTCCTGAATGTATTTTAGCCCCTCCTCCAAGGCTCGAGTCACACCCTCTCCAAATCCTGCCACCCACCCACCCGACCCCTCCCTCTCTGGCCAACCCCAATCCCAGCCCCGCACCTGCTGTGACTAGACACAGGGGTCCGGGTTATAGGGGTCCTGGGGACAAGGGATGGATAGCTCCGGGAGAGCTGGTGGGACCTAGCCAGGAAAAGCCAGTCAAGGAAGGATTTTCAAATCCTAGGTTTAGATGAAAATGCATGGGGTGGGGGTGGGAGGTCACAAATGCAAAGAGAGATTTTCTAGGGCACCAGGCAAGGTAGCTGGCTCCAAATATCAATGGGCAGACAGGCTGAGCAGGGCCAAGTTGATTGGCTGAGTTGGAGTCCTTGCCCTGGCTCACTGCCTTGCTAGCCTCCTGGGGTGACTTAGTCTCCTTTGGTGGCCAGGACATCAGGTGTTACTATCCCTGCAAATCTGATAGCTAAAGGAGCACCCATGAAGCTCCTGGATTGACCAGGGGGTTGCTCTAAAACCAGGCAGAAGCAAAATTAACTTGAATGTCCAGACAGCATTTTATCTGCCCCGGGGTCTAAGGAAGAGGGCCTTTGGTGTCCAGATTATCCCAACTCTCACTCCCACAGCCAGCCTTAGGGCTGGGATTGCAGGAGTCTCCCAGGAGATCTGGTCACTTGGATACTGTAGATAGAACTGTGTCTGTATGTGCTTCCTTCATGTTTCTAGATCAGGGGTTCTGGGGCTTCCGTCAGTTTTTAAGTCAGTGAGCACACACCCAGTAGAAGGCCGAGCCTTCTGCACCACCACAGGGCCCACCTCAATTCCCTTTCACCCCTTTTGTCTACTTTTGAGGGTCCTCAGCTGGTCCTCCGGAATTTCTTGGATCTGATAGATTCAGGGGCTGATGGGGCTTCACCTGTTTGACCTCCCCTTCCCTTGCGGTGTTTCCACTCAGCCTCAAGGCAGAGCTATACCTTAAGTCAGATTTTTCACCAAATGCACAGGAACAATTGTAATCAAGTTCTATGGACTTTGGAAATTAACACACGCACACACGCACACACACACACACACTCATGCACACACTCCTGTGTGAAATGACTTTCTTCCTTTGGAAAGCCGTGTTCTATGCCTCACTCTCACCCTCATGAATGCCTCAGGAAGGAATGGATGCAGGAGAGTGAGTGACAGAGGGAGGGTGAGGTACTGAGTCTCCCTACTGCTGGTGACACCTTAGTCCAGGCAAGAATCATGTTCTATGATGTTGGAATGGACTGAGGCCCAGGTGGTCCCTTCTCCCCATTGAAGGTCACTTGGGGAAGGAGAGGATCTAGGGATGGATTTCCAGCCCTCTGGATTTTAACTTCTCTGACTTTGACTTTGTCCCCCCACCTACCATCATTCCATTCCAGGTACTCAGGGGAGGACGAAGGAAGATGAGACTGAGTTTTTGTGCCTTGCTACTTGCTCCGTGAGGTCCAGACCCGGGCTGGTGGATGAACACATTTTAGGAGTAAAGGTGAGAGGCCAGGGGACACCAGAAATAATAGCAGAAAGCAGAGTTGACATCACGGTGATCTATTAGAAAACTTATCATTGTTAATTAAACAGCTAACAATTTCTAGACAATATAGTACATTTCCCCATTAACCATTTCACATATAACGTTGTATTTTTTTAAGCACACGCCCAAATAATAACTACCTATGTATTTGGGGGTGGAATTACAAGTTACAGAAGCTGAACTTTTGTATGTGTCCTTGTGTTATCACCTTGAAGGACAGAGGATTTCAGTTACTTGTTCTTTGCAAAAGAAGAAATTTTAAAAAGCAAAGTGAGTAAAATCTAAGCCCAGCTGTCCTACCCCCAAATTGTTGATCATAGATTCACATGGCTCAATAAGAGTTCTTTGCTCGCTCTAACTAGATCTGTTTCTGTCCTTGAATTTGAAGGATCTTGAGCAAGCAAGAATATGCAAACAACAATCATTGTTTACTGTGCTGTGTACTGGCTGATGGCTGCCACCTGCTGCCACAGTTGTTTCCATGATGGCTTGATTATTAGGTCCCACCACACTATTAGTCTCCTCAGGACCTGGCACAGGGATATGATATGGTGATAGCCACTTGTGGGTGTCAAATAACGCATCCATCCTGAGTTGGTTTCTGTAACAGGTCATCCTGGCTTCCAATGACCATAATCAGGTACCTATTCTTTCTTTTTTTCCCCCCCTTCCAAGGACTCCAACAGAAGCGTCCTCCTGGGCCACTGAGCAAAGGACCTTAAGGCCTGGCTCAGATACATTTATAGAAATGACAACCAGCTGAGAGGGCAGTGGCCAGAAGGCATGGTGCTGACAAGCGGAGAATAAGAATGTTTTGATGTACTAGATTTTCTCGAAAGAGCTTTTTATCCAGGGCATCAAAATAACCAGCAGCTGATGCACGTGCTGACTTGGAGGACAGCAGGACAGCTTGTGTACGGTAATTGTTGTTATTTCTGAGGAGGCAGAAGTCTGCAGCCATGAGAGCCTCATCAACAGCAACACAGCATGGCGCCGACCTCCTGGCCTGCCTCTGCCTCACCTCCATGCTCCTTCCTCCAGGTGTTCTGGCCTAGTTTCTAGATACCAGTCATATCTTCATCCCTGACCGCTCAGACGTACTTCTCGGTCACCAGCATCTATTATATGCACAATGTTTGCTAGTTTCTTGTCTTAGTCACTTGCATGGACACCAGCAAACACTACTTCATCTCACCTCTGGCCCTCATCCCCTCCCCCATCCACAGTCCTTCTTGCTTTTTTCTTTCTTTTTTTCTTCTTCTTTTGTTTTAGTTTTTTTTTTAAAGGTCTGGTCTCATGTCACTCAGGCTGTGCCCCCCCCCCCATCTACTATATAGCTGAGGATGACTTTAAATTTCTGATCCTCCTGCCTCTCCCCCACCCACCCAGTGTGCTTACAGGCCTGTGCCACCACACCAACTTTATTCAATGCTGGATATAAAAATGCATGGAAGGCCTCATGGCTATTTGACAAGCACTCTACATACCTAGTCCTTCATTTCCTGCACTGTCTCATGGGACACTTCTGAGTTGGAAACATAGCAGTTCTACTCTTGTCCTGTGGGGGCACTGTGGCTCAGAAAAGCAATCACCTTGAGTACAGGCAAGCTTTAGCCCATTGATGTGACTTTGGGAGAAAGATCTAACCTGTTAGGGCCTTGATAGTTATAATCACTATAAAACTATAATTATACTGATTAAATCTACTAAATAAATAATGTTGAGCACCTGTTCACCCCATTGTAGGCACTGAGGATTCGGCCAGAAATAAAGCTGCCTTTAAACACATGGAATTTAAGTTCTAAAAATCTCCATCGCCGATTTAATGTTTGATAAATGTAAGCTATTGAATGTACATTATAAGTTGGGAGAACACAAGGTCTATGGTGTTAGAGGTAATACTACTTAGCCACAAGGAGAGTCAAGTATGTCCCTGGGGATCAAATCCTGTCCCTGACCTCTGTGAAGTTCCACATTCTCAGTCTTGCCCGACTCTGACCCCTCAAAGATCCCCAGTACTCTCAGCTACCATGTGGACCACCTAGATCAGGTGCCAATGCTCCTGGTACTGTCTTCAGAGGTATCACCTTTGTAGCAGCTCCCTGGAGTCTCTTATGAGCCTGTGGTTCAAACAAGTATGCCTCCATCCAGGTCCTGAGTGGAGAAATTCCTGTGGGGCCACCACAGAGGTGGATCTAGGACAGAACCTAATGCTACCACCTTAGAAATCCAGCTCAATATGTTTCATAAAATTCTGTTCTAGGACAGGAGCTGTATAAAAGGAAACAGAGATCAAGAAGGAATGTTCTTACCATGTAAACACCCACTACCCAGTGCAAAAAATAGACCTGCAAATGAATGGGAAACCTGTAGGGAAAGGTGTGACTATTCAAAGGATATAGAGTCTGGTCCACTTTTAGTTTCAAGGAGCCTCCATTATTGCCCTAGCTGTCCATAGTCTAAATTCCACATTCTTTAAGGAGACTGTGTGTCACCTGTCCCTTCATTCTCATTTCTACTTCTTTTGCTTTGGTCTGGCTCTGGCCTTGGGGTTTTTCTTTGACAGTTCATTTCGTAAGTAATGGCAATAATTCTGGACTCTAAATATGTTTACGAGGCCTCAAAGGCCATTGCTCTGACCCCTTCCTCTTGCCCATCTCTGCTCTTCTGAGATATATCTCTTAGGCTCTTCAGCCACACTTCTGATTGGGAGACTTCTCCAAACCCCCAAGTCAAGCCTGAAACCATTTCTAGATGCTTCTATGAACAATCTACATGCCTTAGAGCACACATCTAATATACTTTCATGAGTGAGATACTGTCTGTGCCTCGATGCATGAGTAAGAACTACAAGAAGACTGCTGGGAAGGGCATCGTCTGAGACAGAAAGAATGGCTTGGAACAAGAATGGGTCAGAA